CCAAAACAAATCCATGGAAATAAGGATTATTATGAACAAACCTGACTATCAGCCATTTGATTAATGAAATTTCTGAGGGAAAAAACCCAAAAATTACAAGAAAGGAAACTAATAAAGAAATAATATAAGAAAATATCCCAGATTGGAATGGTTTAACTTTAGACAGAACCCACTGAGCATTTGGCATAGTAAATTGAAGAGTAAGATCGATACCAAGATCATTAAAACATTATAAACCAAGAGAGAATTTTAAAAATTTGGCATCAGAGAGGAAAGTGTGAGAGGAGAAAACACAGATCATGACAAATAAATATCATGGCCTTGGACCGCTTCACAGCAGAAGCAGGGAAAGAAGATAATGAGGCATTGCCTCCAAATGCTGAAGGAAGATTAGTTTCAATTTAGGATTCTGTGTCCAGATAAACTGTAATTATATGTGTATAAAGAAGACATTGTCAGAAACTTCATTCTAAAAATATATATATACATGTATGTGTGCATATATATAATATATATATTTAGTGTATATACACACATACACAAATATATATATGTATATATATAGCTCAAACTACTGCACAATTGCACTCATCTCACAGGCTAGTAAACTAATGCTCAAAATTCTCCAAGCCAGGCTTCAACAATACATGAACCATGAACATCCAGATGTTCAAGCTGGTTTTAGAAAAGGCAGAGGAACCAGAGATCAAAGTGCCAACATTCATTGGATCATTGAAAAAAGCAAGAGAGTGCCAGAAAAACATCTACTTCTGCTTTATTGACTACACCAAAGCCTTTGACTGTGTGGATCACAACAAACTGTGGAAAATTCTCAAAGAGATGGGAACACCAGACCACCTGACCTGCCTCTTGAGAAGTCTGTATGCAGGTCAGAAAGCAACAGTTAGAGTTGGACATGGAACAACAGACTGGTTCCAAATAGGGAAAGGAGTACGTCAAAGCTGTATATTGTCACCTTGCTTATTTAACTTATATGCAGAGTACATCATGAGAAATGCTGGACTGGATGAAGCACAAGCTAGAATCAAGATTGACAGGAGAAATATCAATAACCTCAGATATGCAGATGACACCACCCTTAAGGCAGAAAGTGAAGAAGAACTAAAGAGCCTCTTGATGAAAATGAAAGAGGAGAGTGAAAAAATTGGCTTAAAGCTCAACATTCAGAAAACTAAGGTGATGGCATCTGGTCCCATCACTTCATGGAAAATAGATGGGGAAACAGTGGAAACAGTGAGAGACTTTATTTTTGGGGGCTCCAAAATCACTACAGAATGGTGACTGCAGCTATGAAATTAGAAGACGCTTACTCTTTGGAAGGAAAGTTATGACCAACCTAGAGAGCATATTGAAAAGCAGAGACATTACTTTGCCAACAAAGGTCCAACTAGTCAAGGCAATGGTTTTTCCAGTAGTCATGTATGGATGTGAGAGTTGGACTATAAAGAAAGCTGAGCACCGAAGAATTGATGCTTTTGAACTGTGGTGTTGGAGAAGACTCTTGAGAGTCCCTTGGACTGCAAGGAGATCCAACCAGTCCATCCTAAAGAAGATCAGTCCTGGGTGTTCATTGGAAGGATTGATGTTGAAGCTGAAACTCTGATACTTTGGCCACCTGATGCAAAGAGCTGACTCATTTGAAAAGACCCTGATGCTGGGAAAGATAGAAGGTGGGAGGAGAAGGAGACGACAGAGGCTGAGACGGTTAGATGGCATCAGTGACCCAATGGAGATGAATTTGAGTAAACTGCGGGATTTGGTGATGGACAGGGAGGCCTGGCGAGCTGCAGTCCATGGGGTCACAGAGAGTTGGACACGACTGAGTGACTGAACTGAACTGATATATATATATATATATATATATATATAGTGTTTATGGGCTTCCCAGGTGGCGCTAGCGGTAAAGAACTCACCTGTCAATGCAGGAGACGTAAGAGACTCGGGTTCAATCCCTAGGTCAGGAAGGTCCCCTGGAGGAGGGCGTGGTGACCCACTTCTGTATTCTTGCCTAGAGAATCCCATGGACAGAGGAGCCTGGCGGGCTACAGTGCATAGTGTTGCAAAGAGTCAGACATGACTGAAGTGACTTATATATGAGTGTATATATATGTGTGTTTGTGTGTATATGTGTGTGTAACAGCCATGACAAGAGGCCATGAGACCTAAGACTATGGGATTCATCAAAGGTGCAAAAGAAATTCCGTGGCTCATGGTGAAGGGATGTCTATGCAGCAGTGCTAGAAAGCAAACTGTCCAGTGTGAGCGGGACCACAGAGCGCTCCAGAAAGAGTTTACATGGAACTTGCAGATTATCTGTGTATTTATCCATCTCAGGAGGAGTTGTGCAGCTCTCTCAGAGATGAGATAAAGTATTAGTGAGAAGTACGAGGAAACCTAAGCAAGCAACTTAAGTAGAAATCTAGGCAATTATCATGTCTAAGAAAAATTTAAACCCATACAAGAATGAAACTGTGTTCCTAAAACACTGTTTAGATCAGTCATCTGTGAGCAATAGTTATGTAATTGTGTTTACGATTAACAATTCTATCAACATAATGTTATTTGATATAATTATGTTGGGAAAGTAGGAGAATGAAAGTTGTGAATGTGGCATTAAAAGAGTCATGTCTGCCCCGACTGGATTGTAAAAGCACATATAAGAAAGGATAAGGACATGGAGACCAAAAAGCAAGAAAGAGACCTCTATCAAGAAGTTTGGCTTTGCAGGAGAGGAGAGAGACTGGGCAGAAGGTCGTGGGAGATGTGGAGTCAAAGTAGATGTGTGTATGTTTGCATAGGAGAGACTTGAGGATGTGAAAAGCAGGTAAAGAAACTTGGCTCTGAGGACAAGTTGAATATATGTGAGAGACAAGAGCTGGTTAATGACAATCACCGAGTAGTAGGTGAAAGGTGATGGGACCTGCACAGCACAGGTGAGTGGACTGACTTTACTTGTAAGGACACTTCCGTAAAAGAGAGGGTGATGTTGGTGAGTTTCATTTTTGGTAACAGGAAAAGGAAAGAGTTCCCACCTAACGGCTGGCTCCTTTTCGCTTTGGAAGGAGAACACAGTCATTTGCTTCAGCAGTGGTACAGTGAGTCAGAGGGCTGCAAGGTGAAAGGAGTCGGAAGAAACTGAGAGTTCTTAGATCAGAGAAAGGTGGTTGGATCGCTGGGCCATGTTGTAGATCTGAGACTATGCACATGGATTTGTAGTGTAGTTAACATGAGTTTGAGTAAACTCTGGGAGTTGGTGATGGATAGGGAGGCCTGGCGTGCTGCGATTCATGGGGTCGCAAAGAGTCAGACACGACTGAGCGACTGAACTAACATGCCCTTTTATGTAACCTCATCTAGCATTTTGAGGGCTGGCCCAGAGAACCTGGAGAGTTGGATTCATCCAGCCTTGGAGTTTTGTCATAAGAACTGAACAAAAAACACAATCAGAGGAAGTTTCAAGTCCTGGCATACATGTTATTGTGATGATGAAAATCCAAACTGAGTCAGGGAGGAAATAAAAGTTAGCTGACGGAAAGTTGCAAGGTTGATAGTACTACTGAGGTCAAAGAAAGGTAGAATGGAAGTCTTTGAACAAGCAACAGTGGTGATAGCCAACATTTATTGAGTGCTTAGAGTGGGCCAGGTCCTACTGTGTGCATTTTAAATATATTAATTCATTTTATCCTCATAACAACCCTGTGTTGAAAGTACTATTCAAACTGAGGCTCAGTAGAGAAGTCTTGTGTTTAAATCACACTACTTATCAACAGATGGGATGGGATTCACCTTTAGGACTACAGAACTCACACATTTAACCGGGATGCCCCACTGCAGCTGTTTGAAGGTAAATAGGAATTGGTATTCAGGGAGGGGAGATTGAGGTTAAAGAACAAGGTTTTTGCAGGTGGTTACAGATAATAAAGTCCAAAGTGTGACCCTGATGGGGTTGCTGAGTTACAGTAAAAGGGTCGTTAGGGAAGATGACAAGGTACATGGAGGCTGGGATGCTGGAAAGGGCATTCAGGTGAGAGCTGACCTCAGATTATGGCAGAACTTGGCTTGGTGGATTGTGTTACAGAATTGGGTTTGTTTGCCTAACTTGCAGCAAACCAGACATTGAGACGCCAAGGTTTGCAGCAGAGAAATCGTTTATTCAAAAGATAGCCAAGCAAGTTGATGGGCGAACAAATCCAAAACTTGTCTCCCTGAAGATCAGACTTAGGTATATTTATGGGATAAAGAGGCAGGGTGTGTGAGGCATGGGGAGAGGTGATTGGAGGTAAGAAGAGGGAGGTAATTGGTGTTTCTGCAAGAGTGGTCGAGCTTCATGGTTCTTCATGGCAACTGTTCAGAAGATGGCAGAGTTAGTGTGTTCTGAGGGTAGAGGTTTTGGCCCTCTAGAATCAAAAGATCATCCATCTGCCACTCACGTTGGTCAGTGGTTTCAACCAGTTTGAACTGGGCAAGAACTAACTCCACGTTCCTGAAAAACAATTTAAGCAACCATTACTATAGTGACCCATACATTGGAGGTGTTATCCATAGGAAGCTAGGGAGTGGTTAGTTTAAAATCAACTAAAAGCAAATGAGGCAGGTTAGGTTTGGTGGGCCTAATCAGGTTTGTGCTCTGTTTCAGTTGCAGATCTGGGCACTACAATTGAACTCTGTTATTGGATGATTGGAACTTAACAGATAATTACTATTACATCTGTTAATTACTTAAGGATAATTACGCACACAGATAATTGTGCATAATTACTTATGGACTGTTTGTAGCCCCTGCTAGCCTGTTGGCTTCTTGAGGCCCGTTGGTGTCGTTTCTGGGATCTTTTGTAGAGCTGGCATGTCTGTGTGACTCACGTGAATGGATGACTGTGTAGCATGCATTAACTGAAGTAAAACTCATTCTGGTATGCTTTCCTTAGCCAGTTGATAATTTTCTATTCTCCTGAATGAATTCTTTTTTTTTCCCCCCATAGGAAAGCCCATAACAGTGGTGAAGATTCGGATCTAAAACAAAGGAGGAGGTAAAAAAGCCAAAATGGAAGGAGGGTCAAGGGAGAGGGAAAGGCCTTAGCAGATCAGCACAGCTCAGACCTGAGGCAAGAGTGTGGGAAATGTCTGGTTTTATTAGTGACTGCTTTAAGGATATTGCACGTTTTTAAACTTTGAAATAACGATTTTGGCTACAACTGGTTATCGGTTTTCCATTCCTTAACATCTTTAGGAGTTTCTCTCTCTTTTTTTTCCTGCTCCTTTTTGTCTTAGAGGAGCTGTCTCCATTATCTCTCTTTCTTTTTTTCTTTTCTGTTCTTTTTCTTTCGTTTTTCTTTTTGGTCACACCACACAGTGGCATTTGGGATCTTAGTTCTCTGACCAGGGATTGAACCCATGGCCCCTGCAGTGGAAGTGTGGAGTCTTAACCACGAGGCTGTCAGGGAAGTGCCTTGCTTATCTCTTGCTACAGTAAAACCATCCAGAACTGGGTGGTTGAATATAACAACAGCCATATATATCTTATATGAGTCTGTTGATTGAACAGCAGTTTATTAGCTAGTTTAACTGGTCCCTGGCAAAATGGCTCTCAGTTCTCTCTCCATGATCTCTGCACCTGGTTAACCGAGGTGGCTGGGAAGAAGCAGAAGCTACCAGCCCTGTTAAGGGATAGTCCTAGAACTGGCAGAGTATCCCTTCCATCTCCTTCTGTTGGAAAAATCAGTCGTAGGCCCAGCACAAATTCAAGGGGCGTGGAAATAAACTCTCCCTCTCTTTGTGGGGGTAGGGGTTTGACAGGACTTTGAGTCCATATTTAGACCACCCCAGGGGCTTTCCCACATCAGAGTTCTGTTGAAAATACTTATTCTGTGGTCTTTTCTAGGAGCATGGTGACATTTACTTTAGTCTGCTTCCACATTTCTATAGACATTCAGATGCCTAGCTGAATTGAGAAGCTGACTGTGAGAGGGCTATGACAACTACTTTTGTTTGAGTTGGTAATTTTATTGCAAAATTAAAGAACCTACATGAACCTTTCTGAAATTTTTCATTTGTCATAAATATGTTTTTTTTTTTTCTCTCTTATTTTCTTTTCAGGTCACGCTCACGCTGTAACACAAGCAGTGGTAGTGAATCAGAAAATTCTAATAGAGAGCACCGGAAAAAGAGAAACAGGTAATGTTAGAATATGACAGTTAACAGGAACTCTGAAATCAGAGGCTGCCACTGATTGTAGAAGCTGTGTCCTATGAATTTTTACACCTGATTTTTCTCAGCTGTAAATAAGAAGAAATCTGGAATGATTCTGAAGTACTATTTTAGGAAACCTCAGCTCTTCGAACTGAGTTTCTTTGTAATAAGATGATTAAACAGTTTGACAGTGATGTCCCTTCTTGTTAATTAAAAAAAAAAAGCAATGATCTATATTTAGGTACAACATGTAGTGAATTTGCCTAAGAGTGGTAAGAAATTTTATCATTTGTAGAGACATTTCTCCCTGAAGTGTCTTTTAGCATGACATCATTATCCTTTGCCCAACCCAAAACCAAGACACTCAGTTGCATAGTTTTAGTCTTATGTATATGTAAATGCAAATGTGTTTATACTTGTGCCAGGCACACACAATTAGGTGGGTAAATGCAATTAATTCATATTTTTAGGACTTAGTCTTAAGAGCTTGTTAGTAACATGATTTGACATGTAATCAATATCAGTGATGACAACGCATTGATTTAATCAGTTCTTCCTGATTCTGAAATATTTATTTGAAAACAAGTAATCCGTGACGAAAGAACGGCAGGTCGGGGAGCTGAGGGATGCAGTTATTGGTCGTACAGTCCCCAGTGGCTCTCAGCGGGGGACAGTTTTGTTTTCGCTCTCTCCCCTGAGGACGTCTGGCAGTGTTTTAGGGTACTTTTGGCTGCCACAGCTGGGGGATTGCTACTGACTAGGGATGTTGCTGGACATCCTGCAGTGCACAAGACAGCACGCCGCAGCAGAAACACCTGGCCCCGCAATGTCAGCGGTGCCGCCACTGGGAAATCCGCGCTCATCTGATGTCCACTCTGGCGTGGCTGCTTTTTCTGGGCTGTCTCTTGCTGAGGACGTTGCATGAGATGATCTCCAGGGTCCTGGTTTCGTGCTCAGAGCCCTGTGCGTGGCATGCATTGAATTGGCCTCCCTGTCTAGCTACCGCACCTATGTGATAACAGCCCAGACAGCCTTGTGAGAGTAGACCACTTTCTTAGGAAGACTTTCTATGTCGAGCCTTCTTGATAGAGGTGAGTTCGAAATGTGTTAGGACACTTTTCTCAAGGAAATGATCCCAGTTTCTTCACCTATAAAAACCCGAGTGTGGACGGTAGCTCTCCCTCAGGTACCCTCTTCCCGCTCTAAAATCCAGTATTTCTGCACAGACAACACCAAACAAACGGAAAAACACCCCCCCCACCCGTTTCCGTGGACCTTTATCAAGCCAATGCCTTAACAAATATATTTCTGTTTTGCTTGGTGTGTTCTGAGTTCGTGCATGCTAAGTCACTTTAGCCCTTCTCTTTGTGACCCTATGGACCAGGACCTGGTCCTCAACTTCTCAGAGCCAGCCTATTTAAAAACAGTGTCTTTTTGAGCCAAAAGTGCTAACGTGACATTTGCTGTTAAAATGAAACACTATTTAAAGGTTGCCAGCAAATTCCTAAATAGCTCATTACTGATCTGGGGGCACTGGCTTCAATATTCCTAATAGGTGTTTTCTGCCTCTACCCCAGATTCATCAACAGTTTTTCAAATTGCCTTTTTTTGTACTGTATAAATGGTATATTTTAGAATGATGGTGGTTCTGAATGTTTAAATGCTAAAGTACTTTACAAGGCTCTTAATGAGAAACTGCTTTCAATGCATACTGACACAAAGACTTGCAAGAATAATTTCTTTTACCTGTAGAGACCCTGCCTGAGGGCTCCACAGGGTGGCTGTGCCTGTAGAAGGTGAGGTCGGGAGTCTGGCTCTGAGAGGCATAGCAGAAAGTGGGCGAGGGAAGCAGCTCATCTTGCAGCGCTGATCCCCACGGCTGAGAGTCCTGGTGGAGGCACAGCGTGTGGGGTGGTGCCGTAGATGACGCCGTCGGGGGCCACGCACCCATGACACAGTGCTGCCACTGCCCACTCCATCCCATCGTCAGCCTTTACAATCTCGCCAGAACCCACTCCTTCTACCTTGGGATACGTGGGTCTGAATATATGAAGGGTTGTCTAATGATGTCTGACTTTCAACTTTGGGAGGAGAAAATGAATCTCTTCAACCTCAGTTGCCTTTCCTTATTTTCATCGGCAGGGTGACCCAGCCAAGCTCTCACCCGCGTCCTTTGTGCTTTTATTAAAGGACTCTGGTAACCCTAGAATGGGGCAAAGTGAGTCTTGAACATGCTGATTTTCTGCTTCCTGCCAGCACGATCTCTAAATTCAGCTCCGGATGCTTTCTCACTTTGGAAATGAGAGCCTGCACCCGACACCCCATTTTCTTGTCTTCCCATGGTAACTGTAGCCTGGGGCAGGAGGACAAAGACTGTGCACATTAGCTATTCAAGCACTGTTTTGAAGCCCATGATGTGTCCAGTGGAGCTCTGGAGAGAGTCTCCAGAGAGACTTTCTGGAGACTGTGTGTGGCCTTCAGGATGTCATTTCCTCTGCCACTGCTTCTGCTGGGTGGTGGTTGTTGTTTGTTTGCTGTTTAACATAAGGAAGGTCTCTCGTTTTAGGTTGAAGACAATGCTGTGTGCACACTGTGTTTTCAGCGTCTGCCCGCTGGGTTCAGGCTGCTTTGCTGCCCCACAGGTAGCAGTTTCAGCGTCTCGTTTTGTGTGAAGAGAAGCGAAGCTGACAACGACAGTGTCACAAATCAGCTTTATCAAAGCAGTGGTTGTGGCTTTGAACAAACATGGGAAAAACCGTAATCCGCACTGACTCTGGAAGCCTAGTATTAGAAACAAGGATGTTGTTTAGACTCAATTTTAGAAAAATATGGTTGTAGATAAGCAACCTCCTCTGTTAGTTTTGGGCCTAGAGCTAGTGAGGCCAGATGGGTGAGGACTGTGCAATAACTGCAGGGTTTCATTCCACAGAAATTTCCAACAGCAGAGACTTAAGCCTCCTTTGTTTGGGAAACTGTTTATGTATTTCTTAATCCTCTTTCACTTTAGTTGTCTCTTTACTGTTTTCATAATCTGCATGGGTACCTACAGGTTTCTAGATTTTGAGGTTTGAGAAGATAGTTTTTCCTCTCTGTATAATTAGCTGGAAGTTGGAGCCGTTTCTTGTTACAACATCTAAGACGACAGAGTCCTTATTTTCCCCCAGTGTCTCTACGTACGCTTTTGTCGTCATCTCCCTTCTCTCGTCTCCCTTTTTTACGCTATCTCATTATTTTCCCTTACCCAGTTCCCCCTACTCTTTTCTTAGCTTCTTTCTCACTCTTTCTTTCCTGTTCTCTCTGGCATCTGTCTCTGTTTAGGAACCAGTGGTAAAATGTCAAAACAAAAAGCAAAAACAAAACCCTAAGGGATGGGTCAGGGTTTTGGTTCTGCCTTGTCCTGCTGTTGGACCTTGGGCAGCTCATTTAATCACTGTAAACTTAGCTTTCTCATCCGTAACATGGCGTGCGCACCACCGGATCTGCTTTCTCCAGTCACTGCGAAGCCTGACTGGGCTGTGAGGTGCTAGCGCTGTGGCGGGCAGGGCTGGATATCTCGTGTTGGCGTCGCTGCCTCTTCTTCGGCTGTCCTGACCTCTCCTTCACCCTCTTTCTAGCCTTTTCCACTTTTCTTTTAGCTTTGTCCTCCGTTTCCCCATCCTCCCTAACTTTACACATTTGTGTTTTCACGCCAGCCTTTTTTTTATCCTTTGATTGATGGGTAGGTTTTAGGGGTATCATAATCTCAAGAAATTTTATATAAAATTCTCCGTTTCCAAGCATACAGTTTTCTGGTGATAAGAGTCTGTAGATTTAATCAGATTCTTAAGAGGGTATCTGATCTCCAAAAAGTGGTCATTATGATCTAAATAGTGAAAGATAGATTGATATTGGGAAATGGAGTTGATATTTTAGTTGACTGGTAGAGTTGAAATCTAAAAGGCTGCAAATTTCTTTTGAGATTATTTACTTTTCTATACTGATTTGTGAAAAAAACTGGTTCAATTAAATTAATCAAACTAGAAATTTACCAAGTACAGAGAAGCATTAAATTAATGATCTTTGTGAGTATTAGATTGCATTAGTTTTTACTAGTTAGAATTTTGAATCTTAAATGTAAAATCAGAAGGGTCAGTTGGCTCCTCTTTATGGATTTGAACCCCTGGGCTGTGCTTGGGACTTGCCACAGAATATGCTGAAGGAGGACCTAAGAACTAGACCTATTACAGTGAAGCCTTTCAAAAGCCAGCTTTCCCTGAAAATACCTTGAGCTTAATAAAATATCCTTCACATTCAAAGGAACTGGTCTGCAAAATATCCTTTGTGCTGTTGATGAAAATCAGCTCTCCTTTAGGCATTCACTGGGATCTGTGGCTTACTCAGTCATTAGCTTTGATGTGTTGCTAGGCTTTTAGGATTTGAAGTGGGAGATTTGGAGGAGTTAGGGGGCAGTGAGGCAGAGAACCAGTCTGGTGTTTTTTGCATAAGCATAAAAGTGGAAGTAACTCTGGAGCCTGGTGAGAATTAAAAGAGTAAGAAAAATGAGAGAAGCTGGGGGTAAGAACAGGACTAGAATAAATTGGCAACAGGGGACCATTTGGACCTTTCCCAAATTTCGTTCTGAGCCGTTTGCATCATAATCACATGAATTATGTACATAAGGTAATATGTGTGCACATGTGTGCATGCGTGTGGGTGAACTAGAGCACAGAACAAAGAATGAGGGGCCGTGCATTATGAATCTGTCCCTGCTTTGAAGAGCTCCATGCCTAGAAGCTGGTTCCTTCACCTTCTGAGTTTTAATTTTCTTACATGCTAAATGGGATCATACCTGCCCTGCCTACCTCATGAGGTTTGTGAAGATCTGAGATAATGGATGTTCTTCGAGAAGCAGAAAGAGCCCTGCATCCGATTGATGAGAATGTTTAGTGCTGCTCAGCGTTACCTGAAGTCCCCACTGTATCTACAGAGTGGGGGCAGCTCCCTTT